AATAACCATTCATTTAAAGCAAAAAGTCTACTGAACCTTTCGTGTCCTCGTCTATACATGGGAAGCGGTCCTGACATGATAATCTCGATCAGGCTCATGAAGTCCCTCTTCAGTGTCTCCATCTGCCGCAGCTTGGTGTCATTAAGCCCGGCGTGAAGCACGACCGCTCCGGGGCTCTCGTCGCCCTTCAGGATCGCGGGTATCTGCGCAGATCGGCTAATGTAGCACGGACGTGCCGGACGATGGAGTCTCCGATGATCACACCATCGCATTCCGTCTCGAAGAGGGGAGCAAAGCGGTTATGGGTGGAGATCTCAAAGACTGGAGGCGGCGAAGGGGGAGAGGTCATCGCCCGGGGCCTGGCTCGCGTCTTCTGCTGTGGGTGCACCCAGGGTCCGTGGTGTCCCGGCGCCAGAGTGAAGGACATCTGGGAAGATCGCGTCCTGGGTGCACCGGGCCTGTGCAGAGAAACACACAGAGTAGAGGTGGTGGGAGAGTTAGCAGCGCACTGTATACTTACCCTGGACTAGTGAGCGTCAGCCCGGGATGTTTCCAGCGCAGCTCTCCGCTCTCTCAGCTGGGCCTGCCTTTCCACCAGGTCGCGGATCTGCTTCTCCACGGCCACCAGCTCAACCTGCACCGAGTGCAGCTCGAACGTGTCCTCACCTGCACTCAAAGGTAGACACACAATGGTAATGTGTGTGAATAGAGTATTAGCAATGTAAGCGAGATTAGTGGCAACCACGCTGGTGATGCTAACGGGCTATATGCTAATGGCGGACTCAGGAAATCAAAATAAAACTAGTGATAACAAGGCGCTCTGATTGTTTTTGTTGTAGAATACGATAGTTATGGAAACGAAAATTATGGCGTATAAAATTGATTAAGATAAAAAAATAGACTATAAATAATTAACTTGACGGAGCTCAAACTCAAAACACACGGCAGCAACTCTCAAGTATTTGAACTGTTAATAGCCAAACTGTTAATAAAATGACAGTTTATAGACTGACAAACTCTGTGTGAGAAGTGGGCCATAATTTTGTGTGTGTGTGTGTGTGTGTGTGTGTATTTTTTGTCAGTACCCCAGCTGGTCATATATGACAGATTTGTGAGAGATCGATTCCACATGCACTAATGCACACCGATAGATGATGATGATTAACTTTTATTCAAACTTGTCTATCTTTGAATCAAAGCAGTTTACTCAAAGTCAGAATCAATAATCAGTGTTTGATATGTCTGTGTTTGAGCCTGTGTGTGCATGGTGGCCTAAAATATCTGATTCTGACATTTTCTCACCAAAGCTAAACTCAGGTCGTAGTTCCCAGGTCATCATATTTTTATTTTGGAGAACAATGGGGCAGTTAAAACACAATGTATCAATCACACTCTCTCATTCTCTTTCTGGCTCCCACCTTTTTT